GCCAGCGCCCACTTCTTCGACGACCCAGTGACCACGAACTCTGAAGGGAGCCTGGTAGTGGCGCAGGCGGCGGTGGGCTCGGCGACCATCAGTGGTTGCCAGGGGTGTCGGCGGACTCGGAATCGGCGGCGGCGGGGTGGGGGCGCGGCGAGTGGTAGGCGGCGGAGGGTGGGTGACCTTAGGGCGGTGTGGTTGTCCGACGGGGGCACTAGAGCGCAGATGCCCTGGGCGGAGAACAGGACGCCAAGCTTTTTTGCTCCCGCGCGCATATCGACACCGTGCTGTGATGCCCGTCCTCATACATCACCTGCTTGCACGCGTGATCCTACGCATAGGTGTTCCATTATGGGTTTGCGGAACGCAACCGTCTAGCTTTCGCGCTGTGGACCTCTGGAAGGCCGCCAAGGACCGCCGAGGATCGATGAAGACCACCGAAGACCGATGGGTTGGCAGGGGGCCATGGTCGAATACGGCGTAAACAAGCACGCGCTGGCTCCCACATACGTACCCCTGCTCCCTTCGCTCCCACCGAACGTGCCCGGTTGCCCGCCGAAGCCGGACCGAGGTCGAGGATGTATCGCTGCTGCCTGCAAGGACCGATGGGGCGCAGGAAGAGGAGGAGGAGGAGGAGGAGAAGGAGGAGGAGCAGCAGCAGCAGCAGCAGCAGCAGGGCAGCAGCAGGGTGATAAGGGGGAGAGGGATGAGGAGGAGGAGGAGGAGGAGGAGGAGGAGGAGGAGGAGGAGGAGGAGGACGAGGACGAGGATGAGGACGAGGACGAGGACCAGCGTAAACCACAGACTCATTGACGGTGTTGGAATAAACCCTCCCTCCAAGCTCCCTCTTCATAGGCCCTATAGAAGTGTTCGTTTCCGCTGCGGGAAGTGCGAGACAACTGTTTGAAGATCCTGCAACGTGCCAGAACACCTTTCTCGGGACTCCAACGCCACGAATCAACTTGATTGCTGCGTTTTGACGATCCCGAATCGTGCCAGAACACCATTCCTGAGACTTCAGTCCGGGACCCACGCATCTACATCACCACCACGGGCTGGTTTTCTGTCATGGGGGTTGATCGGATTATTGTTTCGGCAGTGGGCTGCAGGGTGCGTCAAATCTCGCGGTCACGACACGCCTGGTGTATACTTCGGGGTGGTGTATAACATTCCCGGGGGTCCATCGTTTTTATACATAATCACCGTGCTACCAAAGGGTGCTTGGGAACAATTATTCGCGACCGAATGCGGTCGCCATCTGCGCGCATGACCACGTGGCAAGTGCTTGCGCTTGGCGTGGGCAGGCAGTGGCACCCCAGTCAGGGCGGTCGCGTGCAGGATGTGTTCCTCTCCTATGGCCGCCTGGTGGTGGTATATAAACTGGGGCCCGCAAATTCAA